GTGGAGAACCCTGTCTGACTTTTTGAGATTTTGCCACACTTACTATTGCAGAGACAATAGCAACATTGACAACATTTTTTTTTTCTTAGTAGTGCCTGGTTATACCGATGCAATTTCAGGTGCAATTTTGGAACTGAAATAGTACCTGAAATCGCATCTAATGAATGTGAATGTCATTGTCTTAACATGTGCAATTTGCTGCAGCGTGATTCTAAAGTAGTTCTTGCATTACTTTTTCTGCAGTTTTGTTGCAATTTCACATACATAGAATATAATGGAAATCGCACTACAAATTGAAATCATTGCAAATCTTCACAAGTAGCAATAAATTTTGCAAAAATCACACCTGAAATCGCACTGAAATCACACAAAATCGTGCTTCTAAATCGCAGCAGTGTGACCGGTGACTAAGGGAAATAGAGGAAGGCTAGAATTCCACTCATATTGTATTGCTGTCTGTATTCCTGATGCAGATTTCCCCCCACATCCTGTCTGGTAAAACAGGTGTCACTGTAAGTTAGGGGAACTTCTCTTTTGCAGCCTTAGATTGCAGAAAAACCCAAAAGAGGTTCAAATCCTTCTGCACGCTAATATAAAAAACAAACAAACAAATTTAAAAAAAAAAGGAATTTTGGCTAGAATGCCAGTGACCAGACCTGAGTCTAGCTCTCATCCAACTATTGACACTAAACATCCATTAAAGTGATTGTAAAGCTTTCATTTTTTTTTTTTCAATTAAAAATAATAAACATGTCCTACTTACCTGCTCTGTGTAATGGTTTTGCACAAAGCAGCTCTGATCCTCCTCTTCTGGGGTCCCCCCACCGGCTGTTCAGCGAGTGCCCTGATAGTAAGCCGCTTTCTATGGAACACTCCAGACCAGCTCCTCCTTCTCCAGCCCTGCCCACTGAATTCTGGAGACTTTTCCAAGTCCCTAGATCAGGGAGAGGCATCAGGGAACTGATCTGCAGAGCCTCTCAGCCCTGACCCCTTTGGCTATTACACCAGGCTGTTATTCAGTCACTAACTAAAAAATAATTAACTATCTTCCCTTAGCTTTCCTAGGAGGGTGCTACAGGTGATACAACTGTCCATTGAAGTATATAGTATACAAAGACAACACTTTTTTTTAATTTAGGTAGAAGAGGAAATGGTTTAGACCTCCTGTCATGGTTTTTTTTTTGTCTGTGTCCAGTCAGGAAATTTCCCTTTACTTCCTGTCCCAGAGACACAGGAGGAAGTAAGAGGAGCCCTCTCTAAAACACGTCACCAGAATAGGACTCACTATTAGAAGATTTCCCATCTCCACTCCTTCCTGTGACAACTCCAAAATTTTCAATTTCCCAATACTCTCCATAACAGGAATAATAGTTACCAGGACAATAGTGAGGGTAAACCTCTGCAGTGAGGGGACAGACCGCAAAATAGGTTTCCCTACTGCAAGATTTCCCCCTCTTCTCTTTCCTCTGACAACTCCAAAATTTTCAATTTCCCATGATCCTTCATATCATGAATAAACGTCAACAGGACAATAGTGAGGGTAAACCTCTGCAGTGAGGGAACACAGAACAAAATAGGTTTCCCTATTGGAAGATTTCCCTCTTTTCTCCAAAATTTGTGATTTCCCTTCATACTGGAGATAAAAGTCAGCAGGACACAGTGAGGGTAAACCCCTGCAGTGAGGGCACAGGCAACAATAAATATCTGAACTGATTTAACACTTCTACATGCTATCGAAATCTAAAAAAAAAAGTTTTGGCTTTTCATACACTTTAACAGAACAAAATGCTATAAGAAAATATTAGGAATTTTTGAGAACCTGAAAACGTAAAAACAGTGATCAAGAGACTAGGAAAATAAGACACTTTTGGGAAACTGCAGCTCTCCAAAAGCAAAAAAGGGGGGATTATTTCATGATAAGCTGATGGAAAGCTCTAGGGGGGGCTTATGTGAGCAATCTAGCAGTACCAGAATGACTGGACTATGTCCAGAAATGGTCCAATGCCACCATGGTCTCTGTACACATAATGTCGATGAAGACACATGCCCACTCCACCAGCGACAAGGCAACAGTGGTGAGAGGGATTGTTTTGGTACAGTTGGCCAGCTTGAACATGTATTTCATTAAATGCAAACCAAGAAACCCTGTTGTAAGGCAAACGTTTGTTAGAAGTATGTAACAGTGTATACAAGTGTGTAGAGGGTAAACTGAGAATTTTGAGTGTTAAAATGCAGTCACAAGCCTCACATATCTCATATATTTATATGCACAGTATTTGAATATATAAAAACTAGCTTTTTAGACACCTGAGCGCAGTTCTGACACTTCAATACATGAATACAATAAATTAACTTTTAAAAAGCCCTCAGCTTTCACCAACTGCATACATGCTTACAGAGAACTACCAAAGTTTATTGGAAGAGTTTTGTATACAAGTGTGTAACTGTGCATGTTTAGTTTACAAAAGTATTGTAATGTTTTTAAAAAAGGTTTCCCGGGATTTTAAAAATGTGGCCACAGTGTGGACCCAGGAAGACGATTCAACTTATTGTATACCTCTTATAGTTTGTGGTAGAAACCCCAACCTTTTTTGTTTACATTTACCAAGCAGGGCATGTAGTAGTAGTATTTTGTAGATAATTATCTCTTCAATTATTACGGGCAGTGTTTAAAATTATTGTTCTCTTCTTAGTCATAAAAATATACTAATTTTGCGTATCAATATCTGTATTGTAATATTAAGCCAGCAGGTTGAGCTTTATGGTCTTTTGCAAGTTTCACAGACTTTTATCTTGCTTCTTTGTCATTTACAGATCTCAATAGCTCAAGATGAAATTCACATGCACAATTGAAACAGACAGAGCAGTGATTCACCCTATTGGACAGTTTTGTTGGCAGTTTCAGTCAGAAAAAACAAGTCTAAAAGCAAGCAGAGCAGATTATATATAGGCAGTATAAAAATAGACACGAAAACAGGAGATATATACTATCCACAAACTGAAAGCTTTTCTATTTTTTTTTGTAGTTGCAAGTGAAAAAGATGTAAAAAGACATCTGCCCAGAAAAAGAGAAATCTGCAGCTTGTAGGAAAATAAAAAAAAAAGCAACTGACCCCAAGATTTTAATCAGCTTCTAGGGTGTCCTTGTACATTTTGTGTTGTCCACAAATTCTGTTGGCTCAGCAACTGAACCAGAGAAAAATCACCTTTTTGGCAGCCAAGTGCCGTGACCCGAACTCAATGAATGCAGATATTAAAAGCGTATCATTTCCTAATAATGCATGTCATGTTAAGGACACAGAGATCAGTTTCCATATTTTTCTACAGTTCGTAGAATATCCTATGTTGGGTTTTCAGCCATGTGATTGCTTTCATTGTTCGAAAACATGCCACACGGGAACAGCTCCACCAAGTAAAATAACCCAAGTCTATTGTTTCTGGATATAAACATTCAGAACATTTAAAATATTAAATAATGTGGTCCTTTATGTGGCAGTAATAACTATATATGCATTTAAGAAAAACTCAAAGTCAAAGTAAGTTGCTATTGATGTTACCAGGCTGTGGTCAAGGTGAAGATATTGGTGGCTTGTCATACTGGTTCCCAGACAGTGGTCAAAGTCACGCAAATTAACCAAGATCATCTGGAAAAGCATTGTTTTGCTTTTAAAATCTGCCTAAAGCTTCTCAGCCTACTAATAAAGACAAGCTGATATATCGGCACTTTGCATATTACTGCAGTATCATAAGAAAAATTTTAAAAAAATACAGCTATGAATAGCTATTAGTAGTTGGTCACATTCAAAAAGACGTGTTCTGTCATGTTGAAAAAACCCTTGTGTAAGGAACCGCCTGGCGGTACCTCTAGCAGCCCACTGGTCAGGCTTCCCCAGAGCGCGGAGTCGCGGCCCCCGGTATACCCACCAGTGTTTGAGGAGCTCGCCAGAGGTTCCTGCTGGGTGAGAGCCTGATGTGAGGAGGCAGGGATAACCCGACGGGATGGATGGAGGAGCAGGTGCGAGGTCAGACAAGCCGAGTCGGTAACCGTGGGGTCGGTGCGGTACAAAGCAGCGGGCAGAGAATGGTCGGGTCACACGCCAGGTCAGCAACAAGAGATCAGATCCACAAGGGGGCATCCAGGAGCGAGGTCAGGCAAGCCAGGGGTCAGGACAGGAGAAATCAGCAAGGTCAGAGTAATCCGGGTCAGCAACAATCTCAACTACACAGGTTCAGGTACAGGACACAGAAAAGACCATACGGCAACCAGTGACAGCACAGGGGGAATTTAAATACCGCGCCCTGCGCTGTCATTGGTGCCAGGCGCGCACCCGCGGACCCCAGTGCGCATGCGCGAGCTCCATCGCCACGGCCGGCCAGGACCTAGCACCCGCACACCAGTGCTAGTGGGCATACTGCACCAGCGCCGGGACCAGCGCTGCGGCAATCCCTGACACCTTCTGTTTTGCATTTTTGAAAGTGATTTTCTACCAGAATAAAAACGCTAAATGCACTTAAATGTTAATATAAAAAACAGCACTCAAAATAATCGTTTTTTTCCTACCAAGAGCACTAGAGTGTTTTTAAGCTGGTGGGCGTGGACCTTAAATGGTTTATAGAGGAGACAACCCACATGGAAGAAAAATATATTTGAAATATATTTTAACTGCCTCCCACCTGCCATATAAGGCAGTTCTCTCGTTCTGGGAGGACGTCATATGACGTCCTCCCACTCTAACCGCGCGTGCGCAGCAGCTCTGGGGTCACGCAGCGTGGTGATCGGTGGTGCGCTGTGTCCCTTGGATACAGCGGATAACCGATCAATGGAAAGAGCTGAAGACGTCACCTCGGTCATGTGATCAGCTGTGTCCATTCACAGCTGATTGCATGTAAATAAGGAGATGCCGGTTATCGGCATTTCTCTCCTCACGAGCTGTCACACTGACAGCTCAAGAGGAGAGACGGTAATCGGCTTCCTCCGAGGGGACATGTAGCCCCAGCAGTGCCACCTGTCAGTGTCCATCAATTGCAGCTGTCAGTGCTCATCAATGCCAGCTGTCAGTGCTCATCAATGCCAGCTGCCAGTGCCTATCACTGCCACATAAATGCCACATGTCAGTGCCTACCAGTGCACATCAATGCCACATATCAGTGGCCATCTGAGCTGCCTTTCAGTGCCACCTATCAGTGCCACCTATCAGTGCTGCCAATCAGCGCCACCTATCAGTGCCCATCAGTGCTGCCTAACAATGCCAGTCAGTGCCACCTAACAGTGCCAGTCAGTGCCGCCTATCAGTGCCAGTCAGTACTGCCTATCAGTGCCATATATGAGTGCTGCCTTTCAGTGCCCATCAGTGAGGCCTGTCAATGCCCATCAGTGCCATCTACCAGTGCCTCCTCATCAGTGCCACCTATCAGTGCCCATCAGTGCAGCCTATCAGTGCCCATCGCTGCAGCCTCATTAGCGCACATCAGTGAAAAAGAAAAATCACTTATTTACAAAATTTTATAACAAAAACTAAGAAAAAAACATTTTCGAGTTGTTTAGTAAAAAATAAAAAACCCAGATGTGATTAAATACCACCAAAAGAAAGCTCTATCTGTCTCATAAAAATTTCATATGGGTACAGTGTTGCATGACCGCGCAGTTGTCATTCAAAGTGTGACAGCGCTGAAAGCTGAAAATTGGCCTGGGAAGAAAGGGGGAATAAATGCCCCGTAGGCAAGTGGTTAAAAATATTGTTCCCAAATATATTGACAAATATATGAATTACTACAATTCCGGCCGTATTCAATATATTTAAAAATACATTTAAATATATATATATATATATATACATACATATATATGTGGAAATGCGTTTTTATTACAAAATATATCAAAAAATATTTTTTAAAATACATTTTCAAAATACTGTATGTCTTTTATAATACATTTAATCTACATTTTTGGAATGCATTTACACATATATGTAAAAATATAAAATTACTTTTTTATATGTTAAAAACAATCTGAAGAATATATTTACAAAATATATATTTTTAAAAATATTTTTCATATATTTTTTGTAATATATAAAAAAAAATATATGTAAATATATTTGGGAAGAATATTTTTAAAATATATTTTCAAATATATTTTTTCTTCCATGTGGGAAACAAGTTCCTTTACTACCAGCTCGCTATTGTACATGGTGTTTTTTACATGTACATTGCATTAAGGCAGTTGGTGCACTTTGAGTACCTCCCCAACACACACACCATGTGACCATGCTGTTAGCAAGGAGAGAAATTTATAATTAGCTCTGACAGTTCGTAGAGGAGAGGGGGTGTAAGAGACACAGTGGCTAAATGGTTAGCACTTCTGCCTGGCAGTACTAGGATCGTTGGTTCGAATCCCAGCCACGGCACCACCTGGCTGGAGTTTGCATGTTTTCCCTGTACCTGCGTGGGATTCCTCTGGGTACTCCGGTTTCCTCCTACACTCCCAAGACATGCTGGTAGGTTAACTGAATCCTGTCTAAATTGGCCCTAGTATGCGTATGAATGTGAGTTAGGGACTTTAGATTGTACGCCCCTTGAGGGTTAGGGACTGATGTGAATGTACAATATATATGTAAAGAGCTGCGTACATTGACAGTGCTATATAAGTACCTGAAATAAACAATAAACAATAAGAGACAGAATACCTGGAGCTTGCACAACTCCTTCCCTCTTCTCCTCTAAAAAGCTGCCAAGACAGAACATCTACAGCCCTCCATGGAATCATACAGGCCCATGCCTCCTCTGACACCAGCACATGCCTACCACATTTTTCAGAGCAAAAGAACAAACCTAGACTCCCCCGCCAGCTGTGCAGGAAAGATAGAGTGGAGTGGTAGCTGTCAGAGTTTGGTAGCAGTAACTATTGTCATTCGCAAAAACACCCACAACAACACTAGCCAGCTACTACACTAGTCCAAGAGAGATAAGTGTAGTAGCTGGTTGTTGTAGGCTTGTGTTTTTGTGAATGGAGGCGCTTCTCTCCAATATGCCATCATTCACAACAACACAAGCTGCCAGATGCTTCTGTAGTATCTATCTCCTAAATAGCTTTTGTGTTGGTCTGGGCTCAGTCTTTTATTTCAATTCTTTTACAAGGAAACATTTTCATTATAAAGAAGAGAACAGAGGAGGCACAGGGCAGTAGAATGAAGACTAGGTGGGGGATCTACTACTGGCTACAACTCCTCCATAGGAATGCCAATAAATTGGGCTTTGGTTTGGAATGGAGCTACAGTCAGCAGTGACAGAAATAAAAATTCAATTACATTAGGAAACCACTGCACAAATTTGAATGAACCATATTATAATCTGGGCCATTAAGGGATTTAACAAGAATGCTCAACTTCTTATGATACTTCAACTTTGACAAGCCTCAGCACAAGAGCAAAAAAAGTACATGCACTGGACAAAGCAATGCTCCACAGTTGTGCATTCACAAACATGATTTACGATGCAATAAAGTACAGGTGTGTTGGTTGATCCTCTGTGTGTGCTTTGGGGAGGCATTCAGAACAATTAGCTACAGAATGCAAATATATAGCACATTGTAGTGGTTTGCAGTCATGCCTAAAAAAATCCAGGTTTTAACACTTGCTACCACTCATGAAAAAATTTGCTTGACACAAAAGATAACAGCCTTAACTTGGACATGGGATTCCTCAACCACTATCCGACAGTTTTATGACTATTAGCTGAAGCTTGACCCCCTCTGTGTGAGTGTAGTATCCCCCCCCCTCCCCCCCTCGCTTTGGATGTATCTTATCTGTAGCTTTTTTTTTTCAATCCCTTCTAACATTCTGCTTAAACTTTGTGATTTGTAATACTACTGCTTGGACTTTGAAGAAGGGGACATACCCCGAAAGCTTGTCCTCAAAATTGTATGTTAGTGCAAATAAAAAAAGTATCACGGACAGTACTTAATTGTTTCTGTCGCAAATGCACTAATACGTCTACAATCAAATGCACCCTATCAAAATGAAGCCATAACAAAAGTATCAGTTTTGAGTTGACTGATGCTTCAAGAGCTGATATTTCATTAGGCTGATGAATTAGCACATCATCACTTCTTTTTGCATTTCTTTAAATAGGTTTGCTAAAGTGTTTTCGTGCAAATCTAAAAAAACGAAGGACAGCGCTGCAACGAAAGAGCATATACATGCGTAGGAGGAGAAACCCGGTATCTGCAAGCCTGCAAGCTAAGCATTGGTAGATAATAATATCCCAATGAAGATACCATCAGGGAAATGGAAAAGGGCATGATGGGAATGAGGGGTGCAATGACTGGGAAACTTCAAAGTACACTTATAATGTGTTTAGAAAAATCCAACACAAACAGGAAAATAAGATCCTGATTTTCTAAACTGTGCAACATCTGCTTCTCTTTACACTGAACATAGCTTGGCCTGACGGTCCCAGCGAGAGTAAATCGCTCTTTTATTTGGGCTGTTTCAATAAATAGCGTTACTTTCTGCCATGTAAACCCGCAAAGATAAATATACTGCCAGAGAGGTTTGCGTGTAAGCTTACAAAGCACAGCAAAGGGAGAGAGCTCCAGTGACAGCTCCACTTCTGTTCAGCTGGCTCACTGACTGTTCCCATGAGACTGTTCCTTTACTGTACTATGAGATGTTCTGGCCAATAAACTCATTATGTTCACCACAAAATGAGAAGATTGGAACGCCTTTCTGTCTTTACAATGGTTATTCTATAAATGCATAATAACAAATATGTCTAAGATTGATAAATTCCATAAAATAAGTTACCAACTCTAAATGTGACATTTAGTTTGCTAAAACAATGTGTGTTGCAAACAAGTTTTTTTTTATGTTGTTATTTTTTCGTACTCTTTTGGATCTCTCTCCAGTATTGGCTGCACACCTTGCTTTAAACTAGTTTCCCAGTAGTGACAACAGTGACCCATGCCCTAGCAATGTCCATCGCCACAGCCACTTGTGGTCTTCACCATAGGCACTTGAGACAGGGTGACAACACAGGAGCATAATTGGGAGTTGTCTTCCTGTAATAGAAAGTACCTGAACAAGGATGGCAACAGCACGGTCAACAAGTATTGTTTTAATGAAAGCTGTAGATTTAAAAACACTGAAAACAACTTTTGCAATCACATTAATATGCTAAAAAGCCTATATGAGATTTAAGTGGTTGGGTATAAATCCATTTTACCTTCTTACTTACAAATACTTATGCAGCATGGACATACACTGCTCAAAAAAATTAAAGGAACACTTTTTATCAGAGTATAGCATCAAGTCCTGGGTTATTGATCTGGTCAGTTAGGTAGCAGAGGGGGTTGTTAATCAGTTTCAGATGCTTTGGTATTAATGAAATTAACAACAGGTGCACTAGATGGGCAACAATGAGATGACTCCACAAAACAGGAATGGTGTTACAGATGGAGGCCACTAAAAATTTTTTCCCTACTCATCTTTTCTGACCGTTTTTCACTAGTGCATTTGGCTAGGGTCAGTATCACTACTGGTAGCATGAGGCGATCCCTGGACCCTACAGAGGTTGCACAGGCAGTCCAACTCCTCCAGGATGGCACATCAATACGAGCCATTGCCAGAACTTTTGCTGTGTCTCCCAGCACAGTCTCAAATGTATGGAGCAGATTACAGGAGACAGACAGTTACTCTAGGAGAGCTGGACAGGGCTATAGAAGGTCCTTAACCCATCAGCAGAACTGGTATCTGCTCCAGACTAGACCAAACAATCTGAAACAGACTTCATGAGGGCGGCCTGAGGGTCCAAAATCCTCTAGTGGGCCCTGTGCTCATGCCCGGCACCATAGAGCTCGATTGGCATTTGCTATTGAAAACCAGAATTGGCAGGTGCACCACTGGCGCCCTGTACTTTTCACAAATGAGAGCAGGTTCACCCTGAGCACATGTGACAGATGTGAAAGGGTCTGGAGAAGCCACGGAGAACGTTATGAAGCCTATAACATCATTCAGAATGACCGTTTTGGTGGTGGGGTTAGTGATGGTCTGGGGAGGCATATCCATGGAGGGACGCACAGACCTCTACAGGCTAGACAAGGGCACCCTCACTGCCATTAAGTATAGGGATGAAATCTTTGGACCCATTGTCAGACCCTACATGCTGGTGCAGTTGGTCCTGGGTTGCACAACAATGTACAGCCTCATCTGTCACGAGTATGCAGGCAGTTCCTGGAGGATGAAGGAATTGATACCACTGAATGGCCCCCATGCTCGCCTGACCTAACTCCAATAGAACACCTCTGGGATATCATGTTTCGGTTCATTCGACACCGCC